TATACTTGTTAATCGTCTTCCTAGTATATTTACAAAAGAATATATAATAATTTGAAGTAAAACAAAAGTAATGTTTTCTCCATCAAAATACTAAAACTAATGTAAAACATAATAGCAACACAGGAAGTTGCTTCATACCTAGCCAGAGTGCTTCTACATTTAATCTAGAATTGTTACAATGAGTGGTAGCCATTTTTCTTAATATGGCATGTAAAGTAACACATGACATCCCACCTATTGTTTCTTTCCTTCTTTCTTAGAGCAATAAACAATGGGCTCTTGGATACGTATCAGTTGAAGTCTTTGGATGGACTTATAGAGGGTGATCTAGCAGACTTAGTTCTCATCAAAGACAGAAAAGGAAAGCTGCGTATCACCCTCCGGTTCTACTTGGAGAACAGCAATAGCAGTGATCCAGAATCTGTCACTCTTCCACAGGACGAATTAGACAACTTTGCCACTCGTGCACCTTATGACCGTGCCATTCGCTGCCTGGGTTGGAAGTTTGACTTTTCCATATTCAACAAGTAAGATGGGATTGGTACTAACATGACAGAGAGAGAAGATGTTTGAGAGGGTTGATATGCATAGATAGGTATGTAGCATGGATGAAATATTCTGAGCCTCAAGTCAAACAAAATGGCATGCAAAATGTCTATGGAGATTCTCAGTCATCCAGGTCATAGTTGTCCCAAACAAACAAAACAAAACAAAAAAGTCCAGTTCCTCATGAAAAAGCATCTTTGGGTCATGCAAAATGCTTTCCCATCTTTTATTAAATGTAATATTTGCAGTACATAAGCTATTGTAAGATGGTCGTCCATCTCTTTTTCATGCAACCATTTTGTTGTTGCTATCCCTTAATTCAGTCTAAACTAAAATAGCAATTAATTGGTTTCCATAAATGTTTTAAAAAGAACAAGATCATTGTGTCACATATGAAACTTGCTTTGCTCTGCTTTAAAAAGCCAGTATCTCTGCAGTTAGGGTGCACTTATCTAGGTATGATTGCATTGTAATTTTGTTTAATTTCAGGGGAGCAATGTGTGGATATGCTTCAGTTCTGTGTCCAAAGTATGATAATATGTCTGGTTGTCAAAAAATTAAACTATAGCTGTCCAGAAAATTGATCAGAAACTGAAAGCAGAGCTCCTGACCCAGAGCCCCTCTTTTGGCAGGCAGCCCTTTCAGCCAGTCCCCAGAGACGAGAGGGAGCTGAAATCTGAATGTCAGGGCAGCAGAGTAAAGTAAGGAGTGGGTCTGCCTCAGGCAAGTGGGGGATGTCCTAGGAGCCCTGTGCAGACTTCACTCACATCTCTTCACTTGGGTGCTGAAAATCCTGCTTGAATTTCAGCAGGGAATGCCGTCCACTTACAACCTAAAAGATCACTTAATAACCATAGCCAGCAGTGCCAGCATTGTGGTCATTGAGAGAAGCAGTCACATGGGCATCTCCCTTAACGACCACTTTGCTCACTGACTGAGATTTTGGCCCTAATTGGGGTTATAGGTCAAGGACTACTTGTAAAGAAGAACCTGCAGCTCCTGCATAAGGACACCCAAGTAACACTGTTGATATTATCTGTCTTAAGCATATATTTAGATAGTTGCCTTATGGCGAGGAAGAGCATTGTTGGGAAAAGGATATTTCCTGAGCCTTTTAACATGTAGATGGTCTCAAGATCAGAGTTCATACACTGCCCTTTCTATTGTAGTCTGTGAAGTCAGCCAGACTCCACTCTGATTAGTTTCTCAGTTGCTCTCTCCCCCACTCCTAGGTCTGTTGGTTTGGTGCATGGCAAAGGCAGTAAGAAGAAGTATCCTTTGATCAAGCCCAGCTATGAAGCCAAAGCTACTCGAGGTCTTTTTCTTCTCGGAACTGCAAGCCATTCAGTGGATTTTAGGAAATCTGCTGGCGGTTTTATTCATGGCTTCCGATACACAGGTGAGTTTGGAGATGGGGAGAAAGTGAATGTGAGCAAGCTCAGCGGTGACACTGTTCTGGCATTTGAGGCCCATCTCTTTTTTTTCTTTTAAGCAAATTATTCCATTCTTTTTTCCGTTTATCATCAACAGAAGTAACATACTGCAATTTTTTCAGCAATACCTTTTCTATTATAAACAATGCTGAAAGTAGCAAATGCAAGTAAAGAACACAACTAAAAATTCAGCTTGAAAAGCCAATTAGTTATTATGCAACATATAAACATTACACTGCCAAATGCTTTTTTACATATTGTAAAAATATTTAAATTACAATTTCAATATGCCGTAAAAGAAAATGGGTAGGAAGGGACAAATAAGGGTCAGGTAGTACATTTACACCAGCCACCCACTGTTATCAAATTTTCTCTGATCTCTCTCATTGTTGCTACAAAGAAAAGCTTTTTCTGTTATCGATCTGGAAAAATTTGTGGTTCTCCAAATATTTCTAAGCTACAGTTTCTGGCATCCCTCGCCAGTTTTTGGAAGGACTCCCCAACAGCGGTTGTGCTATTACTAAATCTATCAGATGTGAAGGCCAATAAAGACTCAAACATCTGAATTTGTTGTTTCAAGAGTGTGGGACAGTCAAAGAATAATATAGTAACAGCATTATCCTTGTTTTTCTTCTACCTGCTATAGTGGGAAACTATGCCAAATAATTGTAAGCTTTTTGGCTGTAACCCAAAACTTACTTGTTGCACTTATTAGGGCAGTTCTCTTAGCATGTAATATTAAATGATAATATCTGCCTCGTTTGTTCTTCCCCCATTATGCAGCCCGTGCAGTTCATCGCTTACTAGAAGTCCGTCACCACAAAGTGCCCTGGCCNCTCACCCTTTTCCTCCTTCCCCTTGTCTGCCACTTTTCATGACACTGTGGGTCCTCCAAACCTGCACAAAAGGGTTTATAATACCTGGAAAGCAGATTCTGAGAAGCACAAGAGCTGCACAGCAGAAAAAAGAAAAAGGAAATCCAGACAAGTAGTTTTCTATTCTATTCCCTATTCTGCCCAGTTTTGCCATAACAATCCTGTAAGGTAGATTGGCTGGAGAGTTAATGATTGGTCCAAAGCATCAGTCATTACTAGATTTAGTATTTAACCTCATCTTTCCAATTTTATTTGTTAAACCCTAAAGAGGATTGCTGTAAAAATGTTTCTTTTGAGAAGGGTGTATCAGTGCAAAGGTTTATGTGGTGGGATTGATTCTAGTCACATATTTTGCTCTGCTAAATTCAGAATTTAGTGAATGAACTAAAAGATTCAAGCAAGAGCATGATCAAAGTTTTTCTATACTTTACAAGCTGTTCCTTGTAAAATACAGTATATTACAATACTCTAACCCTTAGGTCATGAATATACAATTGACAGTGGTCAGAGCTCTTTGGAGTAGAGTTTAGAGTTTAACTAAGGGTACCGCCATAGCTGATGCTTGATAATCATGGAATAAAGCAGAATTTAAAATTAATTCCAAATGGTGGATTGAGTGTGGTAGAAAATGCAATCCCATTTTTAAAAAATCCTTTGCAATCAGGTCACCATTATTAGCCAAGGTGCCTTGTTATCTTTGAAATGTATTTGTTTTGATTGGTCCTAGGAATGCTACAAAATTTGAATACCTGGAGGAGTATCCAATTGGAGTCCTACAAGACCTGGAGTGGCGCACAGGAAGAAAAATGCAGGATGGACTTTTTGTCATTATGATGGAGTATGGAAAAAACTTCTCTGGTCCTGACAAGGATGTCTTCTACTATAACCGTGCAGTAGGAGAGCCAGAGCATGCTTGGCAGTCTAACTTCCTGCATCCTGTAATTTATTATTATAAGCAACTTCCCACTGGTAAACAATGGTTTTTTTTTCCTTTTCCACTAATTACAGTGTTTCATGTGATGTTAAGTGTCAGAAAGTTGGATATATTTTAGTATGTTTTGGGTAACTTGATAGTGTGCTGGAGCTGATTTATATAGATAGGATAGCTAGCAATCAGGAGGCAGTGATAGACACAGTAAATCTGGCTACACCAAATGAGAGGTACTTTTGACCACTTTGGGTGAGCTATTATGTGTATGTTAACTGCTGTTGGTTTTTAACTTGTTGATTTTGATTGTAGCTGGACTGTCACCCCGTGCAGGATACACTACAACTAAAATGTTTTTTTAAGGAAACAAATTTCTCATGCTTTTACTGTTCATTCTTCCTGTAGCGTTTGATTGATAAAAGATTGATCCATGACCTGCAAGTTATTCTTTTCCTATTCTCCAGACTTTTCCAAGGGTCTTCCAAGACTAAATGCATTCATTTTACTCTTAAAAAACTAGTAATTTCACTACCACCCCAAAAAAGAGGCAGTTTCTACTTATTTCTGTATATCTTTGATTTCAAAATTTAAAAGCAGAAGTCAGTATTAAAAATTTAAATTATATGTTTACTTAAAAATTAAAATTCTGATGAAATCAATGGTCCATCACTGGTACATTTCGTTGTTGCCATATGTCATCTACCAAGAGAACTAAAGTAGTTTCAGGATATTGGCCAGCCAAAAACCCACATGAAATGCGTCTAGAAAATCAGTCAGATGTTTGAAGTTCCAAGACCACTAACTCATGGCAGGAGTAGCCAACACTCCAGAAGATAGGCTTAAGATATAGGAGGATCTTGACAGACTTGAACATTGGGCGCTATCTAACAAAATGAAATTCAGTGGTGAAAAAAGTAAGGTTCTACACTTAGGCAAGAAAAACCAAATGCACAGGTACAGTATAGGTGGTACCTTGCTCAATAGTAGTAACTGTGAGAGGGATCTCGGAGTCCTAGTTGACAAACACTTAAATATGAGCCAGCAATGTGCTGCAGCTGCCAAAAAAGCCAACACAGTGCTAGGCTGCATTAACAGAGGGATAAAATCAAGATCATGTGAAGTGTTAATACCACTTTACAATGCCTTGGTAAGGCTACAGTTGGAATACTGCATCCAGTTTTGGTCACTACGATGTAAGATGTTGAGACTCTAGAAAGAGTACAGAGAAGAGAAACAAAGATGATTAGGGGACTGGAGGCTAAAACATACAAGGAACGGTTGCTGGAATTGGGTGTGTCTAGTTTAATGAAGAGAAGGACCAGGGGTGACATGATAGCAGTGTTCCAATATCTCAGGGGTTGCCACAAAGAAGAGGGAGTCAAGCTATTCTCCAAAGCACCTGAAAGCAGGACAAGAAGCAACGGATGGAAACTAACCAAAGAGAGAAGCAACCTAGAACTAAGGAGAAATTTCCTGACAGTTAGAACAATTAATCAGTGGAACAACCTGCTTCCAGAAACTGTGAATGCTCCAACACTGGAAGCTTTTAAGAAGAGACTGGACAGCCATTTGTCTGAAATGGTATAGGATTTCCTGCCTGAGCAGGGGGTTGGACTAGATGATTCCAAGATCCCTTCCAACTTATTATTATTATTATTATTATTATTATTATTATTATTATTATTATTATTATTATTATTATTATTATTATCATTATCATCATCTACCTTTCCTAAAAATGGAATATTTGAGACTGCCCTGCTTCACAAATATTCTGGGTGAAGAGAGGTTTCTTCAGTTAGGTTTTAGTATAACATTCTTTGGACATGGGGAACACATCCTCATAATGAGGCACTGATGAGATCCCTTAAATATTGGATCTAGACATTTTAGTCAGTCAAGAGGAGAAAGGGTCAAGTAAACAGGGAATAGGCCTCATCTGTATACACCTTGTCTATGTCCTCATAGTTTCCAAGCATCAAAAACATCAAACTAAAAGGACAAATAGTTGCTCAAATTGCATCCCTAGTAATAATATGAACAATTTTATTTGGAAAGAATTATACACATTTCTCTAATGTGTATATATCTTGTTTATAGTGTTCTGTGGGTTACAATAGTGGTTTGGTGAGTACCATGACAACTGTATAAATAAGTCACATTTTAGCTGGGTTATGCAAATCACAATTTGGCTGAACAAATGTTTGAGATGAGTCCAAATAATATGTGGATGCTGTTTTAACCCATTGGTAGGGAGAGCAGGTGTAAACACTCCAACAAAATACACCAAAATATTGTCTTTTCTGGTGATATGATCTGCCATTTTTATTTTCCTGTGGCCCCTGGAAAACCAAAAAAATCTCATGCTTCAAAGAAGTTTTCAGCCTTGTGTTAGGAAAATAAAATTTGTTTATGGTACTTTCTGAGCTTGGTTGTTCAGTTGCAGATGTTTCATTGCCCAACTAGGCAACTTCTAGTTGGGTAATGGCCAAGGACTCCACAGTTCAGCCCTAAGCTAAAAATATTCTCTTCTGTTGTACACTTTGTTTAATTGTCCTTTTGTTGTTGAATGCTAACTTGTAAAGCAAGCTTCTACAATCCAAGACTCTCCAGAGGGACTAAAATTCCCAGCCTCCCAAATTAAGCTTCTTGCTCATGTTTATTTTGCGCTTTGTCTGTCTGTCTGTCTCTCTCTCATAACTATCTCTGACTCCTCCCAACAGAACGTGAAATGAGACTGTGCCCACCAGATTGGCCCTTGCCTCGCCCAGACGCAATCCATCACATTGTGGAAGATTTCCTGACTGACTGGACTGCTCCAAACGCACATGTCCTCCCACTGAGACGTTTCTTGGAGAATTGCCTTGAAACTGATTTACGCAGATTCTATGCAGGTATTCTGGGAACTAGTTAGGAATGAATCCATAGGGAATGAAAGCAGGCAGATAGGCCAGGTAACCATTAAATTCCTTTCAGCCAAGATCCATGTTTACACATAATCCCTCATCAAAGTGAATCTATCTCTTGATCTTTATGGAGTCCTTGGAAGGTAATAGAACCAAAGATATTTACAATGAATTCATGATCACCTGAAATGAGCACAAAATTATAAAAGGACAATTTGGACTTACAACTAAAATATTTGTACTGAGAACTGCATATTAAAACTGGATTTAAGAGCTTTGTAGTACTAGATTTCTGTGGATTTCCTGGCAAGAATTTTATTCTCTGGATCAGCATACTAAAAGCAAAATAAATTCTTTTAGACATGTCATAAATACTAGTAAACATATTTGCATATCTCCTCTCCTCCAGAAAGTCACACTCCCCACAGTTATGGGGAGATTGTAAACTCACTAGTCTGCTTCATCCATCTCCAGAGTTTCAACACTAAATGTGCAAAGATCTTCATGTCTATTTGCCCAGGGAAGCACAAAAATGTTCTTGCTTACAGTTTTAGCTCTTGGGAGACAAGAGCACAAACACGTTGAGCTAAATTTTGCCTGTACATTGTCTATTTACATTTCCTAAACGAATAAGCTACATATGTTGATTTGATATGGACTTATTTTGATATATGAATACAGCTATTATAGTTTACAGCTGAGCATTAGTTGTGTTGTACAAAAAAGCATAGCACATGGACTCTGCCACATATGCTGCTGTACGAACATTACCAAATTAAACCTGTAATCAAGTCAGAACTATTTAGAAGACAACAAAGTCCATGTCTTTATATCAAAAGAGCAAAAAGTACAATTTGACAGGTGCTTCATGTAGCCCATTAGCATCATTTTTGGGTGTCCCCAGAACCCTCTTAAAAGAATGAAAATAGCTAGAAAACTGGGTCTTTTTGCTTTTAGAGACAACTTGGCAGTTTTAATTGGTGCCTAATTGTAGATGTCTTGTAGTACCTTGTAGATGTCTTAAGGTACTTATTGTACCCTTTAAACCTCCTCCCAAAATGGGCATTTTTGAAGTATGGGCTCAAAGTACCAAGCAAAGCCTGATGCTACTCTCAAAATATTTAACAAAATGTACTCAGACCTCCTTTATATGATATTTCATTCAGTATAGACCATACACTTCATAATTTTAAGGATTAGAAACTTGTATTACTGATTTTAAACTAAATTTCTGAGTTTTTTTAAATCTGCTAAGTGGGCTAGAGCAGAAGACTTTTCTTGATCCATTGTTTAATTATTATTATTTTTTCGTATGGTGTATAATTATATCTCAGAGTGGGTTAGCCTCTAACAGTATTTCCTATTTCCTTATAATAGAAGCTTATATGAACTCAGATTGTTGCTGATTCACGTACTGTAGGAATCTTTGCTAGAGTTAGCAAATCAATTACAAACTAAGAATCATAATCTATTCGGCAGGGGAAAATGCTATTACTGCTTATTACTATTCTGTTTCAGTTCTTGGATATAACAATCTATAAAGCATGCAATGAAGAACACTTTTTCCCTATTTGTACAGACTCCTGCTTTCTGTTTGCCTTCACTCACTTGAGGCTGCCTCCCTCCTGCCAGCAAGGGTACATGAGAAAGCAAGGGCTTGTCGGAAGTGAAAAGCTTCAGCATCAGAGAGTAGCAGCAGAGCTGGTTGAACATGCAGCTATGAAGTCTCAAGATGAACGAGAGAATGGCGCTATGCAATCCCACAACCAGCTGCTAAAAAGTTCAAAGATATCCAGTCATCAGCTGCAACATCTTAGAAGCACCAAGGATGAACTTTAGCCTGCACCCAACTATTTCAAAATTCACAAGTGCTATAGACACAATACCATGGCAAAGATCTGCAGAGGAGTTCCAGCATATGCTCAGGTTCCTAACCATTCCTAGATGAGGACCACATCTCATCCGTACCATATTCTTGCACAAACCTGCAGATCTTTATGAACATGAACGTATACATTCCTTGGTGGGATTGAACAGATGATATTTTAATGGATGGTGTTAGCCTCTAGAGGTGGGAAATATTATGCGTTGTAAAGAACAGAGAACAGTGACATCTCCAGGCCAGTAAGAGTGAATAGCTGAGCCTGGATCCTTTTATACCAGGTTTTAAAGATGCACTGTTACTATAGTCATTAGTGTGTTCTGTAGAACTGGCATGCTTGAATGCCAGCCTGTTTATTTCAAGACAAAATGTTCTTGCATGTTAACCAGAGTATTTCTTCTGTTTGCACTATGCCCCACTTAATTTAGTTTAATCATCTGTTTCCTATTTTATGTATTTTTCATATTTTTTTAAGGTAAGAGTAGGTTAGAAATACTGTTTGCACTTTTTGCACCTTTACCTCTAGTGCATTGATTACTCTGACTTTTATTGAGTTGTATGTAGCAAGCTAGAAATAATCAAAGCTTATTTCTTATTTATTTCTTCTAGTTGTTTGGCAGATAAAATGAATGACATTCATACATTTTCTTCTTCTGTCTCACCAGAGTCCATAACAGAAGTGCCCAGAGCACAGGTGGCAAGCAAAGCACACATCCTGCACATAAAAGATCCCTGCTTTGATTCCTGGCACACACTGTCTCAATATGATGCCCTCCAGATTCATGGACTACATTTCCCAAAATTCTCAGCCAGATATTGTCATGGCTAAAAATTAAGGAAAGAAAAAATCTAGCAAATCTGAAAGCTAGCTGCTTCGGGAAGGCTATACTAACATTACCAAATTAAACAAGAAGGACCAAAGTTTTGGGACAGTTCTACAGTTTGTTGGTTAGAGATGAGAGTTGCATTCCAACATATTTGGAAGCATAAAATTAGAGGATAGATAGTACTGAGTTAGATATGCCAATGGTATTCTTGAACACAAACTAGGATTATGCAAAAGTGATATTTGATATCGCTTCTACTGGATATTTTTGATTTGGTCACGTTAACATATGTGAAGATCATACTATTCTATAATAGAGGAAAATTTGTATTCCTTTCTTACAAGCACACTATCTAAATCTTTATATTCTTTAATTTTTGCAACGATACCAGATAATTCATTAATTTTGGGTTGCCTTTATCTTTTCAAATAGTCATTTCTCTGTATGTGTTTAACAATACATGTGGTTTAAAACCTGCTCCAGGGAAATGAGAGTGGAAGATAGTTGTTCATAATGTTATGAACACTAGCCCAAATTGCCCATCACTGGGATTACATAGTGTGGGAGAAGAAACTATGTTACTAAGCTAGAAACTAGCATAACCCTCATTTGATGACACTGATTCATACCAAGCTACCTCCATTATTCTACCATATTATATCTGTCTTTATTCTTGCCTGTTCTTATTGTCCAGATATTGTTGCTGTTTCCTAAATATGCATGATCAGTACAGATAGACTGAATGGAACATAATCCACTCCAGTTCAAGCATGAATATTCAATTATAATTTGCATGGCTGCTACTCAGATTAATATGAATATGCAATTGTTTTGGAGTTAAGGCTGGATATTAATATGGTTTATCAAGCAAGGCCTGAGCTGTATGGTTATCCAAGGTTTTTTCCAAAGGTCAGATTTTGCTACTATTCCACAGAGAACATTCTTCTCAGGCTACCATATGCTTAAGGAACTGGAAACCCTTTATTCATTAAATATTCAGGCATTTACAATAATTCCAAGGAGAAAAGGGGCAATTGCAGTTCCTTCATTTTGAGAATATTGTCTTACTCAAAATATTTGTCAAGTTAATAAAAATAATTAGTGCAATTTAATTATGCAGATAATTTGTTTAAATTTATACTGTCTGCATATTTTGTATGGTTGTATTCTTTTAGATGAATCCTTTTAAAATGTTTTTATTTTATCATGAAAACCAACAGCAGAAGTAGTGTTTATCTTTGTTCAGTTATGAAGTGGGAAAGACTCAAGAGCCTTTCAACCTTTCAAGATATGTAGTTCTCAACTTACTACTGTATTTGAGCCCAGAATTACAGTCATATGTAATAGTGGTCATTAAGTGGGTCACCACAGAACTGCACTTGAGTTTACAACCTTTTTAGTGGTGGCCATTAAGCAAACCCGTTTTCACTAATGGTTATTTTTTGACAGAAGCCAGAAGTAAATACTGGAACCCAGAAAAATCCACCAAAAATCACAGTCAAATGACTAAGGGAGACTGCAAACGGCTCTAAACGTGAGCCGTCTGCCAATGGCCAAGTACAATCACAAAACCGGGAGGGGTGCAGTCATCAGAACTTCAAAAATGGGTTGTAAAGTGCTTGGGGAGATCCACTGTAACTTCAGCCAGTAGCTAAGCGAAGATTACCTGTACGTACTAAAAATTAATCTGAACAGAGCAATATTTTGTCAGGTCCGAAAACAAGAAAAAAAATGAGATAAATTGCCTTGTTACAGTTCCCTACAAAAATCATTAATAACATTTTTAATTTGACAAACAATCTTTTTTTCAAAATCTTGATTTGTGATATGGGTAGACCCAAATAACATATTTGAGATTTTAAATTTTGAATCTCAAAAGGTTTAGAAACTAAAATTTAAATCACACACTGTTTGCTTCTTGTCTATTTATTTTTGTGTTCACCTTTTTGTGTCTGCTTTTGCATTCAGACTTTAGTGCTGCAAACTTTCTTTGGCTATGAATGCAGAGCCATTTCTAAAGGCACCGCTGCACTGTAATTCTTAAAGATAAATGGAAAATTCAAAATATAAGAATAAACTTTAATTATATTTAATTTAAATAATTACATCAATTGATTTTTATATCACACACACAAGTTGGAATGTAGTTTACAGATTATTCAAAGCTGAATAGTGCCCCCAAAAGGCACTAGGCGCATGAGGATTAAAAAGTAGCTCCATTTTGCCTTTTACAAGGAAGAATTTAAGTATTGCAATTCTGCAAAAGCAGCTCTGGAGCGACACTGTTGAAGATAATTTGTGTAATGCTGTTGTAGTAACAGTAAGAAAAGCTCCTACTCTGGAATTTTAATAATATAATGTACATTATGACATAAAAGCTAGTTTTGGAAAACCAGTAAATGCAACACAACGAAGTGATAATTAATGCATAGCTTTTTAAATCAAATTATATAACAGCTATTCCTATTTTACAAACTTAGCAATGTTTTTTATATTAAAACTTGGCAAGTACGGTATAATAGGAGGATGCATGAAATGGATAGTGCATGGAAACTCATTTATATAGCTGCCTAGTTAACAGAGACAGCTTGGGGCAGCACAAAATAAAATCGATGAATAGATAATCTATATATTTCCCCTTTAATATGATTGCAGAGCTATTCATATCAAATGCAAGTATAAAAACTATAATGAATGTCCTAAAATAAAATATCCTAATTGAAGGGAGAGTAAAAAAAACCCCTTCAACAATGGAGCCTTTATCTTTCTCAAGTGTCAATAATTTATTAAGTGTCATGCTATCACCTAATTAAATTTGGCACAGATTGTTGTCAGTTTGATGTATTGGTTAAGATGATCTAGAAACCAAAGAGGCTGAGTTTAGATTTATATTTAAAAAGTCAGGTTAATAGGATTGCAAAGTAGTATGTTCCAGTTACTCAATGTAACTAATTTCAGAAACCGATTAACTAAGCCAAGCACAAACACGGGCGCTTTACGAAACCTAAAGATCAAAGGCTTTTTACTTGTACATTTCAGCCCGTTAGGCAGCCGCCTACCTCCCCAGACACGGCCTGTGTACTTCGACCCTGCCCGCGGCGAAGTTGAGCAAACACAGAGCGGAGCGCATGTTCGCCATTGGTGCAGTAAGAAGAGGTGGGAAGGTCAGATTTCCCCAAGAGCCAATCGGCGCCAGGCTGAACAGTTTCTTGGCTTTCTAACCAATTAGCACGTAGGATATGCTTATTGCTCTCCGCCTTACCCAATCAACTGCCAAAGCTGTCAAGAGCGTGCTTTCAACAGCCAATCACCACGAGAGTAGTTATGGTTGCGTCCTAAAGCTGCGTCTGTTCGTCCAATCAGCTACAGGAAAATACGGTAGTTCAGCTTTTTGACTCTCCAGTGTGGTCGCGAGGGGCTCTCCGGGGACTATGAAGGTGAGAAGGGGAAGTGGTTCCCTCGACGACCTTTATTTACCATTATTATTATCATCAAGTCGGAGATAAGGGAGCCCTTAAGAGCCACTCTTCGCAGTAGAAGGGAAAGTGGCATGAGGAGGAGAATGTAGAATATTCAGGGCTGTCTGCAAGTGGGAAATAGTTGGCTGAACAAATGGGATACCAGGGGGAAATTGCGACGCAGGCAGGCTGGGTTTAATGTTCAACAGAGCTGCTTTCTCCTCGGGGAGCTGTCATAATAATGACTAAAGAGAGGGAGACCTTCGAACATGTGCAGAATGCCAATGCTGCATCACTGCAACCACGTGGCTTAGGCTTGTAAGGAGGAGGGAAAAAAAAACCTTCAGATCAAGAAATAAGATTTTTGGATAAGAAGTTTCTGTTCAGGACGTTTCAGAAACTCAGGTTAAAAGTAAGCGGAGTTGAAAGAACCAGGTAGCATTGCCAGTGTATTTTTCGACAGAATTTCTGACCCGTTATTAAATGCATAATATTGGGGAAATTAGTAACTGCGGCTTGATTCATAACTTTCCCTCTGTTTCACAAAAGCTGGTTTGCATTAGCTACAAGCTTGCTTTGGTTAATGCCAAAACCTCCAGGTCAAGGAGTTAGGGCAGATTTAAATTAAGACCAGAAAGTAAGTTGCATTTCATATATATAGGGCCCAAAACAATAAAGAAGTATTCTGGGGAAAATATTTTTGAATTTGCTTGAATAAAACAAATTTGACAATTAATGGGCTCTTGATTTTGTTAACAAACTTTAGTAAATTTCAAAGATGTTGATTTTGAATGTAAAATGATTATTAAAATGTGAAATTTGGGGGGAAATGTATTTCAGAGCAGATACTCCATCTTCTCTCCCAAACCCCTAAACAATCAAATTCACTATGCTTAAAGAGTACTCTATTTGCAATACTACCTTCTTTCTTTATATTTCTAATTTGCATGAAAGAAGTTTGCTGTTGTGGAATAATGCTGTTAACAAAATTGTTGTGGGGTCTAGATAATATAAGTGTAAAGGTGCTGCAATATTAATATCATAGCCATATCATAGTGATATCTCTTTCAAATCTCTATCAATATTTTATAGACATAGTAGTAGCAAAACAACTGTGTTATGGTTGTCCACCAGACAGAATATATTGGAAATGAATCTATTTGAATGGCATTGGCAAGTTGTTTAGTATCACTTAACTATTATACCTTGTCCATTATTTATAAATTGTAAATAATTTAGCCACACTGAGATACTCAATTGATATAGTAATAATGATGTGCTATTTAAAAAGGCTATTTGTATTATGTCAATAAGCATATTTCAATAATATACTGGAACCATGATGTCCCAGGACAGAAGGCCTTGCTTTCAGATAAAAGGATCAGCAAATTAAAATAAAGGATTCACTCCTAGCTTAGACATTGGATGGAGAAACCAAGAGTATTTGAGTTGATAGGCTTAGGAAATAAGCCAAAGTGTTGCAGCTCAGAGAATCTGGAGTTCTTGAGAAACTTCTATAGTGTTTTAAAGGCTGGTTCATAATTCAGAAAATTAAAGTCACTTCTTTTTTTCATTAACCAATATTTTAGTATGGGCTTTTGCCATTTCATAATAAAACTAGGCAGCGTATAATATGTATTCCAAATGGAGAAATGTGAGATAATAAGCTAGAGGCAAGGACTTAATAGTTGTTTCTTTGCCCAGTGTGTAGGTGTACCCACAATATATACAGTAAAATAAAAATACCAGCATATTTTAAGCAGCACATGGCATATATAAAGTACACTGAATTGCAAGAGAATGCAACTAAGGTAGTCCAAGTACTGTTGGTAATTATGAGATAGCCCAAATTGAACACAGCAAAGATGTATATCAAAGGAAACTGCTTTGGGAAATTGGCAATAGTTGGGGGAAATGTATGGGAACTTTTGGAATCAGTTGGGAAGGGATCAAAGAAGCAACAGAATGGGTTGGCTAGAGGGCAGTGAAAATGTAGGGAGTTTTTAGAGTCGCTGTTTCCTCCTTATGATGCTTTTGTTTGTTCTTGTCCTAGATGGCCCAACATCTCTTCAAATCATTGTTGTCTATTCCAGTCAAGCGTCTCACGCCAGTGCTTCATCCCAGACCCTCATTGCTTCTGTACAGAGTTTCAGTTCTGCCATGCAGGGGACCCTGGTGTACTTCCTTTGCTTCTCCTGCTATGCCTTCACAGACTAGGACATTTTCTACTACTCAGGTCTGTTGGCATACTTTTAATGTCCAGGATGAGGATGACTTCCAAGACAGAGTTTTGAAAAGTCAAAAACCAGTGGTGATAGATTTCCATGCCCAGTAAGTATGGTGTACAGTATATGTCTTTGTTACAAAGCTGTCTGGATCCTTAGTATGCTATGTATGTATTATATACTATGTAGTATAGAGGGCTTTGACCCCAAATGGTGTAGCTAATAGGGTCTGCCTCTCTCTCTCAGTTGGTTTTACCTAGATGCCATAGGATAACTGAGAAGCTATACTAGGTGATTACTGTTTACATCCTCCTTTTCTCTTACAATATTCTAAACCAGCAGTCCCCAACCTTTTTATCTTGTCAGCCCGGCATGAGGGGAAAGATCATATGAGTGGCAAGTGCGTGTGCACACACATCTCTGCGTGAGTGCAGGGTGCTTGCATACGCGTGTGAATGGAGGGTGCTTGAGTGGCGGGCATTTGTGCTCATGCGCAAAGCTCCACGAGTGGAGAGTGCTCACACATGAAGCTCCATTCATGCAAATGGAGCTTTGCTTTCAAGTGCCCTCCACTCACGGGTGGAGCTTCGAGCATGTGTGCAAGCACCCATCACTCAAGTGCCCTCCGCTCACGAGTGCAAGCACCCCCACATGCGAAGCTCCATGTGCACGAGTGGAGGGCGCTTGTGCTTGCACGTGAAGCTCCACTCGTGAGCAGAGATTGCTCGTGTGCGAAATTCCATTTGCGCAAAAGGCACTTTGCGTGCGAGCACCCTCTATGTATGTGAGTGGAGCTTTACATGCAAACGCAAGTGCTCAAGCGAGTGGAGTTTTGTGAGTGGTAGGCCCTTGTGCTCACACACGAAGCTCCACTCACACGAGCGGAGGCGCTTTGTGCAAATGGAGCTTCATGCACAAGTGCCCTCCACTCACATAAATAGACCTTCGCGAGCAAGGGCCCACCACTCGTGCAAGTGGAGCTTTGTGCGTGCACATGCACGCACACTTGCCCATTGCACGGCCCAGTTTAAAACAGACTGCGGCCTAGTAGTGGGCTACAGACCGTGGGGTGGGGACCCTGTTCTGAACCCTTTGAGTAGAGATAATATTATAAATAGCATATTACAATTCTTTTTTTCATGAAATACTGCAAAAAAAAAATTGGTGCTCTTCAATTTTTTGAGAAAGAGGCTGCATATTTAGTTTATTGGTACTTTCATCAGAGTATAGGCAGATGCAAGTTGGCAGGGCATTAGCTAATCAATAAAAATAAGGCACTATTGCTTGGATATGGGTCTACCAATTAATGGAGGAAAGCATACAGATGCTTTTATAATGCAATCTCATGTGCCTTTCTTTACTGGAATATAATCCTCATCTCTGGTTATTAGAAGCTTGAAACATTTACCGACTGTTACCTCCTTCCTGTTTCTAAATATAAAACAAATGAGGATACGAAAAAAGATGAAATGATGTGAAATGAATTAAGTGCAGTGTGGTAGAATGGGATATGAACCGTGTTGAGAATGATGGGCAAAAGTTTTATCCTTTTCCAGAGAAGAAAATTTTAAAAAAGCCAAACAAAGAACTTTCAGAACACTAGCAGGAATAAATACATTTAAATTTTGAAGTATGTTTCCTACTCTCTTGATTTCTAAATTCCATTGTAGAGCTGGCACGAAAAAAAACAAAAGTAAAGAATCAGATCAGGAAGTACTTCAGTTTCAAAGTCCTTGCAGTAAAAGTAAACTACATGTACCATTCCTTTTTAAACTGTTTTTCTTTACCTACTTGGCTGCTGGACTACACCTTCCTGTTAATTTGTCACAAATTATGTATTTATTGGAGGAGTGGCAGTTTGAATAGTATACAAAGAAATGGGTTAGATTATAGCTAGGATTATTTCCTAGCACTAAATTCACTCTACAGATTTCTGTGAAGTTATTTAAATGATATCATACTTTCTTGCAATTCTGTGTTGCTCCAGATTTTTTTTATTGATGGACATAGATAATGGAATATTGATTTGGTGTTGTTGTTTTTTTTGAGATACCTTGTTACATATGTATTATTTTGCTCCATATATAATCATATATCTATCTATATCTATATCTATATATCTATATATATATATATGCACACACACACATATATATATATACATATACACATATATACACATACATACATACATACATACATACATACATACATACATATAAAAACCATTTTCTGATTCTCTTAGGACTTCCTTTTTTTATTCTTTAAAACAATGTAAATGCCTAACACAGACTAACTGCTGAATGCTTGTTCTCATAATACCCTGCTGTGGTTATAACATCTGAAAACATCAATAGTGGCTCAATGTGCTAAAGCTACTTCCTGTAATATGGTATCAGTTTCCAGAGCTATAAGAAATTGTAAATGCTGTTGTGATACTGAGAATTTGTTTTGGCAATTACTGATTTATCACACAATGTATCAATGATGTAAGATCAAATAGCTGCAGCAAAAAAAAAGTTCTAGTATGTATAAATCAGATCAAAAATCACCTGGCCAACAATCATAGCATCATACTATTTTCATTTCTTGTTGATTTTTTTTTTACCAACAGCATGTGTGAAAGACTTTCCATTATGAAAAGTTAATTGTATGAACTACTATAACTGAGGGCCCGTGATGGCTTAAATTTCTCTTTCAAAGAGACAAATTGGTATAGAAGATTTGAACCTTGTCCCTTGTCCTTGTTCAAGTGTCTATTTTGCCTGTTGTACAATATTGGGAACAAGTTACTGCAATATATACACAAATAGGCAAGATCTTTGCACATGATCATTGATGGTACTCTTTTATTGGTTTGTACATATGTGGAGAAAGACACTGATATATAGTAAATTCAAGATTACAGGCTGCCTTATAAGTTTGGATGACAACTCTTTGTATCCTCTTTTATATAGTTTTCTTCTCTCTTTTTGGAAAAAAATGTGGATTTCTGTTGGTTAGAAGGCTTATGAGATTCTGAAATGGTTTTGGTAAACATAGTGGTTTTTTTGCTGCTCTTATTTACCCTTGGCATAAACAATATGCAAGAGGCTTATAAATACCTTGCAGTAAAATACTCTGAGCAGTTTGTAAGCAGCAGCTTTTAAATCTTGGCACATAGACTATCAAACAAAATGCAGACTCGTATGTCATCTCTTAATGTAACAATCCAGGCATCACTATTAAACCTGATACTTCAGTATTCAGAGGCTTCTTCTTAAAGGCAGATATTTATCTTTATCCTTTGGGAAGTATCTTGTAAAAAAAGTTAATATTGCTTTTTCCTCATTAAACTCTAATGTCTTTCTTTGTTGTGAGATGGTGTGGTCCCTGCAAAATCCTGGGTCCCAGACTAGAAAAAGTGGTGTCCAAACATGAGGGGAAGATTCTGATGGCGAAAGTGGACATTGATGATCATACTGACCTTGCCCTTGAATATGAGGTATGTCCCTGTAACAGCTCTGAGATAGACAAATGCATATTATATTGAGCTAAACTAGTTTGTTTTTGTTTGTTCTGATCACCAATTTTGACAAGAACGAGTGGTAGAATCTGTGACTGCTAGGCCTATAGCACAAATAAAATAAAAAATGAGAAATAATGTAGTTCAGTTTTCCCCAACTTGTTCACCTTCAGATGTACTGGATTACTATTTCTAGAATTTGCACAGTTGCAGTTCTAACATATCTAGGGTGGGGAATAACAGATCTGGAATTCAGTAAATTGTGGGAGACATCCTAGCAGAAGAGTTGGAGCAATTCTAAGTCAGAAGTCAAGATGCATCCTTTGAGTAATGGTGTATGAGGCATTTTTTTTTAAAAAAAAGTGAGACATATTGATCTTCATTGTGTGGGAAATTGAACTAAAGAATGATTGACTCATGAAGAAAAAAGAAAATCATTAGGTAGGCCAGTGTTATCGGTTTAGAGTAGCCTTCCCCAAGTTGCCCAGAAATAGTGAAAATTATAATCTAGCACTGGAAAGTCAAAGATCATCCCTAGGAAAGGAAATGGCAAACTATTTCTGCATTGTCAACAAAAGAAAACTGCATAGATTTGTCTGGAAGACACTAGGAGACATGTTTGACCCAAACAAGACTTTAGCCTTAGTAAGTTGAAGCTCTTGGCTGATCTTGTCTGGATTTGTAAACTAAGTTTTGTACCAGATTAGTATTTGATGGAAGATTACCAAGTAATATTAGGGCCACAGACTAGGACACTGGGAGATCAAAAATCATACTAAAAAAAGGGCATATAATCCCACCTCAGGCTCATGGCCAAGAATCCTCCATGAACATGTCTATGAAATTTCCACCAGTTAAGCTCAACTCAGATGACGCCTCACCTCTACTATTAAAGGTTGGACAAAGAAGAGTTTATAATAACCT